TCCCCATGGTCCGTGTGTGTGTTGTGTGCTCATTCCTGTGATAAACTACAATATTAATACAAATTTGTAAAGAGATTGCAGCCCATCACGGGAGTGAGCGTGGGAGTGGTGGCTACTTTACAACACACACAGGTACCATGGGGAACATAAGTAGCCACCCTCCAGAAGGAAGGACAGTGTCAGCACCAATGCAGAGATGATTTGAGGATCTACAGCAGAGTGATGCACAAATAAGATACATTTTTGTTAATAGTATTGAAACCGGTGGGACAGCATACAACTAGCAGACTGAGCTGCCATTGCCTAAGGGGAGGTGCGCACACCTAGGCGACACCTCACCGTGCACGATTGCCACACGGTCAGGCGTTGCCAAGGTGTGAAACGATTGCGCTGTGGGTGCCATTATTTCCTAATGGCACCCCAGTCGCGCTATTCCGCCTGTGCTTCCGAACACGATCGGGGCTAAAACAGTCATGCGTCGTGTATCGCAAAAAAAAAAAAAAGGTACATGTACCTTTTTTCTGCGATTGCCACGCAGATGTCACCCCATCGAAATCAATGGCGGCCATTCGGAAATCTCTGCCTGCATTGTGCACGATCCCGGGGCGCACGATCCTGGATCGCAGAGGTCTGCACCGGGCCTTAATATACAAATTGCCTGCTGTCTCTAGCAGATTACAGATTACAGAATTAAAGTCCAAATGAATTGCCATTAAAGCCCTTTTTTTTTTTAAATGCGCAAATATGGAAACCAATGGACCACCATTAAATTAAGAAAAAAAGCATTTTCAGAAAAGGAGAGTGATGGCAGACTCCTTACTCTTATAACTACATGCTTGCTTAAAAAAAAAAAAAAAAAATCTCACTAAAAACAATAGTCATATAGGTTAATAAGGTTTCAGAAGAAGGGATAGGGAAACGTAAAGCTGTTCACTGCAGATGCATTTGCTCATCCTGGACAAGCTCGCTAACACAGAGCCAAGACCAATAATACACAGTAACTTGTGGTCACTGAGCAGGAAACACCGTCTAGCAGGTTTAAAGTTTATTTATGGTCGGTTGCTATGGGTTACAACCCAGCACTGATAATTCTACTATGACCCCTATTTGCTAAAGTGTCTTTATCACGCTAACTTCTTTTTGTAGGCGAACAGTGTTAGCGATAGCAAAATACTAATACAGAAAGAGAAGAGAGAAAAATAGACTCCATTAAAAAAAAGTAGTAGAAAGCAAAATAGCATGCAGTAACCCATAGCAACTGGATTCTATCTTTAATCAATATAGAGCAGTTAGAAGACTGAGAGATGATTGCTGATTGGTTGCATTTTCACATAGTTGTGCTGCTTATACTCCTCTTCCATTTGCCTGCTGGTACAAGCTAGAATACCGGTACTTCTATGAATACGGGGCAACATGTGACAGTTTCCCTTTCCTATCAAGTTGCAGCCACGTGTGCCTGCTGTGCAGCCAATAGCCAGGCCAAAGTGCTGTCATGTTGGGAAAGGTTAGAATTCTCCCCCCTGTGCAAGTTCCAATCCACTTGCAGTTTACACTGGGCTTTTTCACTTCATTCAGAATGTACGTTTGCTGGATTTCCAGCGATTATTGTACGATTATCGCAAGGTGTGTGGGCACCTTCTTAAGGTGCCCACACACCTTGCGATAATCGTACAATAATCGCGGGAAATCCAGCAAACGTACATTATCGCAAGGTTTGTGGAAGGCACGCAACCGTTTCTTAGGAACATGTTCGAAAACCAGCCGGAGAATCGTACGATTGTCGGGTGTGTGGCATGTTCGTAAATAAATGCCGCACGGGCCGGTGTGCACAAGCGCACACTACCCGTTCAGCATTGCGGTCATCGGAAGATCGCAAGAACGATCTGCCTGTCCAAGACGGGCAGATCGTACGTTTTTTTAATTACCTTACAGCCATCGCAAGACAAAGGTCTTGCGATGGTTGTAAGGTCTGTGGCCAGCTTTACAGGTATACAGGAGCAGTGTAAAACTAAAGAGCAGGTGAGTATAAGCAGCAGCTTGTGGCAGCAATTAACCAAACCGTGTTGCTCTGCCTAGTACAGGCAAAGCACAGGTTCACTTAGATATCCAAAACAGCTTTGTTAGCAATTCAAAATTGTAACATGCCATTAGAAACGTACATTATGAATGTTAGTATATTTTATGTTATTTTGTTTTATATAAAAGAGCACAGGTTAATACAGCCACCAATTAAAAGTCCCAGAAAACCAAACAGTAAAGTAGGCATGCAGACAAATGTAAAAATGATTGAAACAAGGAAAGGGACATGCATAAAAACATTTTTATTTGAGTGGAACACATAAAACATCAACCTGATGAAATAAACAAAAAAAGGTCACATTAAATAAAATGAGTAGGCCATGTTGTACATATAATACTAGGACAAGTAAGTCATGCATGACAAATGTCGTGACATATGACAGGGGAATAAAAGGGTTTCATTTTGCACATTAGAAAAAAGGCACATTTCTGTGAAATTGCATATAAAAAACACTCCAAATTATGAAAAAAAAGCCAACTCCTTTTCCTTAAGATAATTCAGTGAATGTGCTAAAGAACGTGTTACATAAAAAAAACAACATATGTGGTGAGATTAATCTTTGGTATTTTGGTTCAGTGACTTCTTGTACCCAGCCATAGTAACTCAGCTATCCCATAGCTTCATAGTCCTGCCTTATTTGTTTATAGTCCTTGCAGAGGCCAGTGAGAGCCCCTAAAAGCAGATCTAACATCTAAAAACATAAAGCATAGTCCTATGAGTGGTGCCACTACAAAATGCAATAGGCTGTTAAAAATCTGAAATTGGAAAGAGAAATATAAAATAACTGGATCTCTAGCACTACTTCATCATAAGTTATCTATGTCTTTCAGATGCATCTTGGCAGGTTGAGGTCACTAGGTGTCTCCCTCCCCCCCTCGGTCTTAAAGGGTCAAGCCCCGCAAATATTTCAATTCTTAATAGAGGTTAGACAGTTAAACCCATCAGACAATTTCTTCTATATCTTGTGACCAGGAAGTTCTGGTGATCCAGTACTTTAATATTAATCTGCCCCATGAAAGTTTTTTGCACAATATGTTAGATGTGGCCTATGATCCAGAGCCACCCACTGTGTCTTGTGTCTGTTTAGACTTTAGGACTGCTTTAGCATTTAAAAAAAAGATATATGTATGTATGTATGTATGTATGTATGTATGTATGTATGTATGTATGTATGTATATATATATATATATATATATA